TGACTAGAAACGAATGAATGTTGTTTGATTAAATAATTCACATCGATTCCTTTTGCCTTCATATGTAGAAATATTGTGAACACTTGATTGGCACATGTACGCGACAATTTCATTTGTCAGCAAATTTCAGTTAAGATTAAGTCAGATTAATTATTAGATTATATAATTATCAGATTAAGTTTAAGCATTAAGTACTATATTATGTATTATATGGTTAACACTACCAAATTAAACTATTAATGAGTTAGCTTACATGCTAACATATTGATTAGCTTAGCTAATGCAGTCATCCGAGATCGTAACTGTTACCCGAAAAATTCCCATACGACAGACAGTCTTTTTCTCTGTTATCTGGTATTAAAAACGTTTGGCTTGTAAGTAGGGTTGCCAACCGTCCCGTATTTTGGGCCTAATTGATTTGTCCCGTACATGACTTCCCTTGTCCCGTTTTTTGACTGCTACGCAGATCTACCACTGACTGATACAACAGCAGCAGTACTGATCACTTGAGAATGATCACCGATACCTGTCATCATCCAATCACCCCATCATCCCCCTCACGCAGTTAAGTAAATCAGAAATCGTGAACATAACTGTTCGAGGAAGGCTGCGCAATCGTCGCTCCAGCCTCACACGCGCTAGCGCCAATTCTGTCTGTGTTTTCACTTCAGTAAATCAGTTTTGGTGAATACAACCCAGTCAACACGTGAGATCATGCGATGATCACAGTGACATCACACGATCCTCATACTGTGAGCCCCACGGTGTGAGTAGTATATGAGCTCATTATGAGTTCAATCGATCCTCATACTGTGATCCTCACGGTGTGAGTAGTATATGAGCTCATTATGAACTCAAACGATCCTCATACTGTGATCAAATATTAGTCATCGGGGATAAGATCATCTACATCTTGGTTAAGATTACTAAAAGTTTCCCAAAACTTTTTCTAGCTGCCCCACTTGCGCCTGATAGTGCTATGTGCTTTTCACACACCTTGAATCAAAAGAAATGAATAGTTGTACATAAAATAACAGTAAATAAAACAATAATAAACAGTGAGTGTGCAGTGACCTCACATTGGGAGCATAGTATGAGCACACAGTGAGTGCGCCGTGTGGTTACACTTTTAGCTCACTGTGACACACACATTGTGACCACACCATGAGAATCATGTGAGCTCATGGTGACATCATTGTGAAATCAAATTGTTGACTGGGAAACTATGTGATTATTTTTCATGAGTCCAACATCCCGCCGCGCAAGAAACATGATCAGTAAGTTGTCTTTCACTATTGTAATGTTGTTAAATAGAGAAAATCATTTTATATTTAAGTAACTAATAGCATAATTCTTAACCTTGGATCTTATTCTTGAAACACAAAATGACCAATAAAAAGGTGGCAAGCACCAAAAGCTGTCCATATTAAATCTATAAGCTGTCTTTAATTGAAAAATACGCATTTTCATGCATACTATATGTGTGTGTGTGTGTGTATACACGGTCACTCACCCCCAAGGTGATTGTCCCCTATTTTCATTTTCTAAAGTTGGCAACCCTAATTGTAAGTAGCCTATATATTTCTTTTTGTTCATAAATTAGCATAATATGGACAAACATTTATAAATATGTAAATATGAGGGATGAGAACTGTGTGAACTTTTGTTGAGTGTAGTTTTTTTGCTTTATCTCTTAAAGGTGGGGTATGTATTTTTTCAAATACGCTTTAGAAAACTGAGTCGGCCAAATACCAAAACAAACTTGTAGCCAATCAGCAGTAAGGGGCGTGTCTACTCATGGTGTGGAGGAGAAAGCGCTCAGTGCACCAGACAGACATTAGCCGAGCCGAGCGATGACAGAAGGATTTAGATGGCGGATAAAAAACAAAAGAGGAAAACGTCTGCGGAACAAAAGAAGGCTTACGATAAGGCAAGAAGTAGGACCTGTGTAAATATTGGATCAGCTTTCCAGCGCTGGCGAGAACTCAAGGAGCGGGAAGGCCTGCGATCGGATGCTGAGATTGCGTTGTTTCTTCTCGATAGGTGAGTAACACTGTGTCTACACCGGCCGCGCCGCGCCGCAACAGCTAAAGTCTGTCTACACTGGACGCGACAAAGCGACCTTTGAAAATCATTTGAAATTTGAGTCAATACGTCATAAATAGAACGCAGCAGCAGTTTTCTGTCGGGGATTTGTTGCGTTGCGACGCATCCAGTGTAGACTGCATCACTGATTATAATGGCTGCATCTGAAAACTGAAAAATGCTGCCTTCGGAGGACGGAAGAATTTCAAGGTAGGAAGGAATCTAGGCATGTCCGAATCCAAAGTTAGCTTCACTTCCTGTCTCATCTGATAAATTTTTGAAGGCAGCATAGATGTATCCTTCACTGCCTTTGATATCCCACAATCCTGTGCGTGTTCGTCCGAGGGGGAGTGGCTTGCTTTAGTCGATTATGGTAGAGCTCAGGAAAAAAAAAATGCCGTCGGAGAATGCGGTTGGAGGGCAGTTTTTATACAAATGTAAGTTTTATTTTCACTTTCGACAGCTTTTGATTGCATTTCTAAAAATGTGTGTTGTAGTTGCTAAATATTTGCTTGGTTATCGCCAAAGTGCTCTCTATTTATAGTCCAAATATCATTTCAAAAGGGTCATCTGAGGATACAGTCGCTTTCATAATGGCCCGGGCTGAAAATGAGGAGGCATTCACTGGCCATAAAAACAGTGCTGTGAACGGGTGGATGTAAGTTGTTGAATATAATTTTTCTTCTTAATTAAGAATTATTATATGCCAATGTTAATGTTGCATTATTGGTAGTCTAAATCAGTGTTTCCCAACCGGGGTGCCGTCTGTCGAGAGCAGGGGTGCCGTGTAAAAAATCCTATTTAAAATTTTTAAATTGCTAAAATGTTCAAAAAAAGCATCTATTATATAATATCAATTTCTGATGTCTCCAATAATTAGAGATGCACCGAAATTCCGTTTATTTAATTCAAAGGCCTGTCGTTGTTTTTGATTTGTGCTATCATTATTAATTTCTTTATTTGTTCTTATTTTATTACTGACTGCTTACTTGTCATTTTTTATTCA